GAGATCCCAAGGGTCATTCCTAGTGCCCCTCCATTGATTGGTGATTATCCTGCCCCACCAACTGGCCGTAATGATTCAACAGTGGGTAGTAATCAACGTGAACATGGAGCTCCAAATGAACAGATGCACAGTACTATGCCACGGCCACCAAGCTACTCCTCGCTGTTTTCTGTGCCCACTCCAAGGTATAGGAAAGGAATTTGACGTTGGTTTTGAGTGTTAATTAAACTGGGAGTTTAATGGCAGTTACTGATTGCGTTCTTGGACACAATGTGACATTGATTTAGGCAAGATCTTGTAATCACAATTTGAAATAGGGCTTCTAAATGTTCCTTAAAGCATTAAGTACTTTGTAAAATTTGAGTCAAATTTCACAGGCCTCACCATTTTGTAAATACTATTTTTTTGCAATGTTCTTGTTGAGTCTTGCTTTATTTTGCAAGGCTCAGAAAGTCTCAGGCTATCAGAAAATGTATTTTTTTCAGTCTTGTCATCTCACAAGGTCCTCCACTAACATTTTACTTACCCTTGTATGCTCTTGCTAAGCAATTATCATGATTTGTGTTTTTTTCTAGTACCCCATCAGTTGACAGGTCAACTAAACCAGTCATGGCTGCAGGTGGGTGTGGTGGTTTATCATCTTTTGATGTACATAAAAGTTGATATAAAGCTTATCATTCACAGAATAACTGCATATTCCCCTCCTATCCAAAAATTCAAGTCCAGCAGTACCAAAATCAGATAGAACTTACTGCTTTCAGACTTGGTTTCATTTGCATGGCAAAAGATGGTACCATTATACTTAAATGGTGATGCACACTGTCTGTGATGTGGGTTAAAGACGGGTTTCATTAAGTAACTTTTTCAACAGGAAGGTGACTGGTTTTCAGAAACAGAAGAAACTTTTTTACAAGAAAAAAACATTTCCCTAGATTCTCAAACCAGGTGGTCTAAATCATCCTCACACAATTTATGAATTTTCCTAGTGCCCAGCCCTTAGTGAAACCCCTGGCTAAAGATTGCTGAAAAATGGCTGCTATGCAAATAACACTAAAATTGAATGACAGTAATATTCTTAGCCCTTCTTTCTTTTTGTTACATAAAGATACAACTCCACATGGACTTAGAAAAGTACACATTCCTGGTGAGCTTATCAGTCATTTTCTACGACTTGCATCGGACAACACAAGAAAGAACCTTGAAACTTGTGGCATTCTTGCTGGTCGTCTTGTAAGTAGCACAGTTTCTTTTCATGTCCGAGTCTGAAAATCTGCTAGTCAAGAGTACATGTAGTGTCAATTAGCAGTTAAGTTTTTAAACACAAGATTGGACTGCTGGTGTAAAATCATTTTAAATGCCAATGTACACTTTTAAATATTGACTGCAAATGCAAATTGAGCAATATTTTGATCAAAACATTTTAACAGATTGTGATTCAAATAGTTAGAACTCCTGATCAACAGGTGATTTTCAACTACTTTGTGGCTCAGTCAGCCATTTGTTCATTTGCCCAAGTTTTGCTGCATTGTTGCTGCATGTTTGCTTTACAATAGGCTATTAAAATTCAAGCAGTCATACGTACAGTTTTTAAAGCTCCCACGAGGCGAGTGTCTTGTCTCGCGATATGACAGTCTCGTCTCTTAAGATGAGAGTCTTGTCTCTGGGGAAGCGAGTCTTACCTCGCAAGATGAGATTCTCGTCTCACAAGAGGGTGGTAACTTACCTTTGAGCAGTACTGTGTATAGAACTGATTAAAAAAGTTACATGTATGGAATTCCTGTTGGTAATAAATACAAGTAAATGTACATCAACATTCAACATCAAACTTCATGTAGGCTAGAAGGTTTTTAATTAGTATTTTTAATCAATTTGTCTTTTACTTATCAGCAAAACAATATGTTCTGCATCACTCATCTGTTGATTCCAAAGCAAACCTCTACTTCAGATTCCTGCACAACTTTGAGTGAAGAAGAACTCTTTGAATTCCAAGATTCCCACAATCTTATTACATTAGGCTGGATACATGTGAGTATACTGTACACTGTCAGTGATCCTTTGTTAGATGTGAGATTGCAGAAAGTCAGTACACTCGTACCTACAGTTCATGCACAGTGTTCCAGATAAGTGAGAGGTCTCAGGTCAAAAACCCGACAAGGTCAGCTACATGACCTGACAAATTAATAGAAAATTTACAATGATTAAATGGTGGGTGCAGTGGGAATTGACCTAGGGGAATTCCCTATCGACACCCTGCCTTGAAAACCTATCTGGAACCCTGCAGAAAAGATATTTTATTTCATGTCTAGTTTTTATTGATCAATTTTCTTTTCTGAACTTTAAATGATCACCATTCAGGAGTGACAGATGGAACTAATAGTAAGAATCTTTGAAATCAAACTATAATACCCATTCCAATAAGTTTTTAATTTTTGCTTTCTACACTTTTGTGCCTATATGGAGACCTTGCAGATGATAAAATGATAAATTAAGAGTGTGCTGATTGTGAAAAGATCTATATTGGAGAAACTGCCTGACCAACACTCTCTGGCGTTGGAGAACACTTTAAGGACACAGGCCACAAGTTGGAAGAGAGTAAGGAGGCTATCAGAACTAGAGAAGAAAACAACTTCAGAAGGAGAATTTACGAGGCCTTGGAAATTGTGTACCAGTCCCCGACGCTCAATCGAGAACGTGGGTGTATACGGGGATGTTTTGGCACGTGAGTTGGCTCACCCAAGCTCACGTGACAAATAGATTCTCTCTATATTCACTTGAGAAAGACGCTGTGACAGCGTCCAAAGCTTGTGATCACTAAAGCACTGACTCTGCATCGGTGTCTCATTTCTTATTAATTAATTCTTGGAACTTGAGGCTTGTATTTGTGGAATAAATATATTGTGATTATCTCTGATTCATAGTGACAAAAAAAAATTTGTGAGGGAAAAAATTATTTTCAACATGAACAGTTTTAAGGTTTCCTCAGCATCTTCGCATGAAAACTAATGTTTTATTTGTAATTTTTTTTCAGACACACCCATCACAGACCAGCTTCATGTCAAGTGTCGATCTGCACACACACTGCAGTTATCAACTGATCATGCCTGAAGCAATTGCTATTGTCTGTTCTCCAAAGTTTAGCGAGTGAGTATAGTTAAACACAGAGCTCGAAAGAAGTGCCATCCGGTCGTCCGGGATAAGTAGATTTTATTTGGATGTTATTTTCTCATGTACTGATGAAAGTGTTATTATTTTGTAGAACTGGTGTTTTTTCACTGACTCCGGGTTATGGCCTTCAGTTTATTTTGAACTGTAAAAAGCCAGGGTTTCACCCGCACCCTAAAGAGCCTCCGTTATACGAGGTAAGGCTGAGCTAACAACAATCTTTAATATACTTTCCATCCCACAACGCTGACTTTGTTAGACAAAACACTGATCTGCTGAAACTAACGAAACAAACGAACGAAAACCCGACACGTGTTACTACAGTGACAATACCTTACATTAAGGACACTTTTTAGACCATCACGCGGGTCCTACAGCCCTTAACCTACTACTAAGTAACGACACTTGCTGACCAACGTTAAAGACAGGGACGAATCCAACAACAGACAGGGAGCAGTTTACAAGATCAAATT